CCCCAAAACCCCAAAACCCCAAAACCCCAAAACCCCTCTGCTATTTGGGATAATTGAAATTTTATTTAGTGACACCTCAGCTTAGGCATACTTTACCAATGTTTTTCTTTGTTGCAGCTGGGTCTATGATGATTTCGTGGTTATGTTTTTCTATATTAGATATTGCTAATGCAAGGTTTTCTACAAATTTCTCTAACTGAGTTAAACCTTTCTCATTGATTTTGGACTTCTTGTCCACTGCTTTTAGCTTAATTTCGCACTGCTCCTTGAATTTATGGTAAGTTTTAGCATCAAGCTTCTCTTCAAGACTATCTAAGAACTCATCAATATTGAGATCAGTGAGCAGCTTCTGGAACTTCTTTTGGATCAAGATTCTTTCTGATTCTATCTTGCTTTCGAATGATTTAATTTTCTCTCCGAGCATTTCTAGTACTTCTTCATCATTCTGGTTGCCATTTTCAGCGAACTTATCAAGGAACTTAGCTTGATGGCTCTGAGTCATTTCCATGGCTTCATCTATAGCACTTTTGCGGACTTCATCAATTTTGTCATTGATACTCCTCGCGTTGCTTTCGATCTGGCTCTTGACATAATTCTCTATTGTCTGGCTAACACTTTGGGAAAGTCCATGGCTGGTCTCATGGCCAAGGTCAGGACTACTGGCATTCTCTAAGGTCTTTTTGAGCCCTTGGATCTTTACTTTGATCTGTTTGATATCATCGTTGCATTTGTTTATCTTCATCTGCTTCATTTTATCATTTTCTTTGAATTTTTTGATGGTTTCGTCAAGATCAGTGAATTTTTGTTGGAAATCTTCTTGAATTTTCCTATTTTTGGATAGGAATGTTACTTCAGTTTGCTTAATTTCTTCCTTTACATTGTTCATTTCTGTTTGGACTTTGCCTACTTTTTGGGTGGTTTCATCCTTGAAGATGATGAAGGCATCCTTAGTGGTCTTAACCGACCGTTCGAGCTTGGGAATATGAGTGTTGAACTCCTTCATTATTTGCGACCTGATCTTATCACATTCCATCTGGGTGGTGTCTCTGACAAACTCCTTTGTAGGCCTGTTCTCGAGGAGGTCTGAGAAATCATTCATTTTCCACAGAGTTTTCTTCTCAACTTCTTCTATCTTCAGGTCTGTCTCTTTGAGGAACTTTGCTTGTTCATCTTTGGAGGTGATCAAAGATTGGTGGAGGGTTTCGATGTGTTCTTCAATTTTGTTTTCAAAAGTTTTACTTTCGGCTTTAAGCTCATTCTTGAGGGAATCCATCATCTTATTTGAACTCAGCATTATTCTTCTGAGTTTCTTCGTAGGTATACCTGATGTCATCACTCAAGCGGAGCACTGAGGACATTATGAAGGAAGGAAACTCCTTGTAGTAGAGGAACTCCTTAAGTAACTTATCCTGAGATCCTTGCAAAGCTCTGGTATCATCAGCTTTTTTTAGGGCAATATCTGCAGATGATTCTTTTCTGGAAGTCCCTCGCTCTTTTTGAGCTTTATCAAGAGCTTTCATGTGGTCTCTTCCCAAAAGAGTCTGCCAGTTCTGGATCACGTCTTTTGTATATGCACTTTTGTATAGAGCTCTGAATGAGTCTTTGTCCAGTTTCTGGGTGCAATTCCCAGAAATGTTATTTAGAAGAAGCGCATGCTGGTTTATAGTTTCAACTATTTTGCTTAAAGAATCGTTTAAAGAGTTCATATTGATGTTCAAGTCTATTAGAGCAGGCTTGGTTGATTCAGGTTTGGCCCTACTTGATTGAGAGAGCTTTGAAGTTGTATAACTTGACTCTGAATTTATTGACTTCTTATTTTTCTCATGTGTCTTTTTGATACTGTTTCTTCTGTGATCTAGACTATCCCCAGCATAGTCGTTTCGAGTTGCTCCTCTTTGCATAATTCTTTTTGTATCTCTTTTAGCTGCTTTTTCTAAAGAAAATTATACAACAAATCTCTCAAAATCTTACCAAAGGAATCAAGTAAATGATTCAAATCTATATTAACAGCTTTATCCTCCGGCCTAAGATCAAATTTTGGCTCTTCTTCATTAACTTCTTCCTGTGGTTTCATTTTGAATTTTAAAAATTTCTATAATTTTTACCAAAGTGGGGTTTTGGGGTTTTGGGGTTTTGGGGTTTTGGGG